ATGAGCATTTGCTGCTCTTCAATTTCAATCCCGCGCCCCTGAAACGACTGAGGACCTTCCGCAATACATCGATGAGTTCTGAGCGGCTGGCTGCAGCGATCAGAACATCATCGAAATATGGCACAACCCCCGGTAGCCCATGGAGCAGACGCTCCATGAGGCTCTGGAAGATCCCCGGGGCAACGGACACGCCGAATTGCAGGCGGCGGCAACGGAAAGCCCCACGATGGGTGACGATGGTCTGGGCAGCCGCCGCATCGTCATCCACCGGGAGCTGTTGATAGCCCTGCGCCATATCCAGTTTGGCAAATATGCAACCCTGCCCCAAGGAGTGGAGCAGGTGTTGCACAACAGGGACTGGATAGGGGTTTGCCTGAAGGGCCAAGTTGATCGTCGACTTGTAGTCGGCGCAGATTCTCACCGAGCCATCCGGTTTGACCGGGAGGACTATGGGTGTCTCCCATGGAGCATGATCAACTGGCTCGATGACACCCTGCGCCAATAATTTGTCAAGTTCGGCGTCAACCTTGGCCCTTAAGGCAAAGGGCACCCTGCGGGCTTTCAGCCTAATGGGAGCAATCTGAGGATCCAAACTAAGGGAGATGGGGGTTCCCTTGTAGCACCCGAGCTGACCATCAAAAACATCAGAGAACTCCTGTAGGATGTCCTCAATCGAAGGGGAATTTATTCGGTGCACCCCCCCAATGGACAACCCCAATGCTGGGAACCAGTCAAGGCCGAGAAGGGCCGGCAGGGCATTCTTCACAATGATGATTGGCAGCTTCCCACTAAAATTGCCATACTTGACAGGAATAGGAAAAGATCCCAGGACAGGAATCAATTTTCCCTGGTAGTCCCTTAAGAGCACGCGGGATGGGGCTAACTTTGTTTGGGGAACTGCAGGGCAGAGGCGGGAGAACATGTCCCATGACAACAACGAACGGGAGGAGCCGGAGTCCACCTCCATTTGGCATGGCTGACCTGCCAGGTGGACATTGGCTGTAATTTTGCGGGATCCTGAGGAGGCCTGGTTAATTGAACTCTCCACTTCCTGCGGTTCGGACACATTGTGGCAGTCGTCCCCTCTGCGAGATGGCTTCGGTGGCTGGCGGCGCGGCTGCGGCTTCGGTCTCTCGTTTGCCTGGAAGAAGGCAGGAGCTGGCAAGGATGCTCGGCAGACTTGGGCAATGTGCCCCTGTCTCTGACAACGGCGGCAGATTGCGTTCCTGAATTGACAGGTCTGGCGGTCGTGGCGGCCTCCGCAACTAAGGCAAGATGCCTTGGGATTATGCGGTGCGGCCGCTGAAGGAGCTGGTTGTCTTCGCCTAGGTTGGGTACGGACTTGGCCAACGTTGTCGGGCTCCAGGTCCTCGGATGGCGTAAGGTCATCATAGTCAATGTCATGGACTTGGGAGGCCGGTGGAGTGAACGGAACGTGCCCTGGATCTTGGGATGACAGTTGTAGCCTCTCCAAATCTGCGGTGGATTGCTCAGAGAGCTCAGCTGCTCTGGCGATCTCCACCGCTTGGAGTAGAGTAATATCGTGATGGCGGAACATGCGGCTTCTTAGATGTACATCCCGCACTCCGCACACAAATTGCTCGACTAAATTTTCTTCGAGATTTGAGAAATCGCACTGGGACGCCACCGTGCGCAGGGCTTCTAAAAACTGACTGATCGACTCTCCCGGCTTTTGTACTCTTCTTCGGAACGCAAAACTGCGGGCAATTTTGGAAGGTGTCGGGGCATAGTGCCCCTTCAATTTAGCCATCAAGTTGTCCCAACCTAATTTATAAGCCGGTCTGGGAGCAGCCATAGCTCTGGCTGAGGCGAACATAGAGGGTTCGCAGCATGATAAAAAGAAACTGCATTTCTCCTCATCGGTTTGAGCCTGGTTTTTGGTAGCAATTAGATAAGTTTCAAACCGCTCCATGAATCCTTCCCAGGATTCGCCGGCGGAGCCGAAAGGAGCGAACGGCGGTAAAGAATTCATGTTGATTCAGAGTTCGACAGGCTGAGGAGTGAGAAGCTGAGGGGAGGAGGTCATGACAGGAATTTTTCCTCAGCGTTCGGTGCCGGCGCGAGTAGCGACTTGTGGCAGCTGGCTGATGGAACCTCTCTCTCTCTCTCTAACCTAGGCTTGCGTGGAATCGCTAAATCCCACCCTCGTCGCCAGTTTTAAGTATTGGCGGAGGGACGACGCAGCAGCCAGAGTTCAACAACAACTCGGTTTATTTTAAGATGACAGCAATTCGAACAGCAAAACTCGCGCCAAGGTATTTATACTAAATTTAAACCAATCACCGGCCGGGGACGGGACAGCAACCGCTGACGT